CTACAGTGGGGATCGAAAGTTTGGGCACCCCAGCTAAAAATTTGTATTAATGTGCATAAAGAAGCCAAGGAAAGATGGAAAAATCTCCAAAAGGCATCAGATTAGACATTCCTATAATATGTCAACAAAAGTTAGATTTTATTTCCATCATTTACACTTTCAAAATAACAGAAAACAAAAAAATGGCGTCTGCAAAAGTTTGGGCACCCTGCAGAGTTAATATCTTGTACTGCCCCCTTTGGCAAGCTGAGACCTGCCAGTGTCATGGATTGTTCTCAATCATCGTCTGGGAAGACCAGGTGATGTCAATCTCAAAGGTTTTAAATGCCCAGACTCATCTGACCTTGCCCCAACAATCAGCACCATGGGTTCTTCTAAGCAGTTGTCTAGAAAACTGAAACTGAAAATAGTTGACGCTCACAAAGCTGGAGAAGGCTATAAGAAGATAGCAAAGCGTTTTCAGATGTCAATATCCTCTGTTCGGAATGTAATTAAGAAATGGCAGTCATCAGGAACAGTGGAAGTTAAAGCAAGATCTAGAAGACCAAGAAAAATATCAGACAGAACAGCTCGCAGGATTGTGAGAAAAACAATTCAAAACCCACCATTGACTGCACGATCCCTCCAGAAAGATCTGGCAGACACTGGAGTTGTGGTACACTATTCCACTATAAAGAGATACTTATGGTAAATATGGTCTTCATGGAAGAGTCATCAGAAGAAAACCTCTTCTACGTCCTCACCACAAAAATCATTGTTTGAACTTTGCAAATGAACATATAGACAAGCCTGATGCATTTTGGAAACACGTTCTGTGGACCGATGAGGTTAAAATTGAACTTTTTGGCCGGAATGAGCAAAGGTACGTTTGGAGAAGAAGGGGCACAGAATTTAATGAAAAGAACCTCTGTCTAACTGTTAAGCATGGGGTTGGATCAATCATGCTTTGGGATTGTGTTGCAGCCAGTGGCACAGGGAACATCTCACGAGTAGAAGGAAAAATGGATTCAATAAAATTTCAGCAAATGTTGGATGGTAACTTGATGCCATCTGTGAAAAAGCTGAAGTTAAAGAGAGGATGGCTTCTACAAATGGATAATGATCCTAAACACACCTCGAAATCCACGGGGGATTACATCAAGAGGCGTAAACTGAAGGTTTTGCCATGGCCTTCGCAATCTCCTGACCTCAACATAATTGAAAATCTATGGATAGACCTTAAAAGAGCAGTGCGTGACAGACAGCCCAGAAATCTCAAAGAACTGGAAGACTTTTGTAAGGAAGAATGGGCAAAGATACCTCAAACAAGAATTGAAAGACTCTTGGCTGGCTACAAAAAGCGTTTACAAGCTGTGATACTTGCCAAAGGGGGCAGTACAAGATATTAACTCTGCAGGGTGCCCAAACTTTCGATCCCCACTGTATGTTCAGGGTACCAATATGTCAGGCTCCTTCTCCAGCTCCATTGTCTCTGAGTCTCTCATTCCTAACCTGCTAAAAGCAAATAAAGCCACTTCCAAAAGAGCTATTATTATAAAAGGAAGAAAAAAACTTTGTTTAGTGTGAACAGGGACTTCAGTCCCAGAGATCCCTCTGTGCTTTGCATACTGGCTTTCCTATCGGGGCTTGACCAGAACTTGGCCTCAAAGTGGTAACAAACCAAAAATGTAATGTATTGCAGCTTACCAGTTGTTAGATGTGGCATCTGCATTATTTTTCCTTTTTTTTTAGTTTTTTTCCCCTTTTTTACATTTAGTGAACACGCCCCCTGTATTAGATTGCCCCCACTCTGGATGAAGGACAGCAGGCACCTTTGAACAGCAGCATTGTCATTCTGGGAGGAGAAGAGTGTTAGAAGGACTATAGATTTAGATAGACCAACAAATTGAACCCAAAATCGGCCAAGCCAAATCCAGCTAAACTTACCAACTGGGAAGTGTTTCTGGTAATGGCTCTATTATGAACTGAGTCACTGACCTGGAGCAAATATGGGTGTTTGGGATTTTCAAACTCCACTAGTTACATGTTCATTCTTGGTCTGAGGTTTAAAGTCGAATATTAATTCTTGCTAGGTTACTTCAGGCTGGCACCTTTTGCAGGTATAGCTATGTAAAACATTAAAAATAGTATACCTAAGGTACATGCACACCAAATCTTGGGACTCTAGCATACATGGTTCCCGGCAGGGGACGCCCAGAAGTCACCGGTAAAACCGACCCTTAAGCCCTGGACCGGTTTCCCGGCTGAGCCTGTAAAGCCAATCTGCTGATAGCCTTACAGCAGAATTAAACTCTCCTATCCTTTTCAGCCAAGGATTCTGCTTCTGTTTGATCTCCAACTGCCAAACCAGCTATTTTATGGTATGACAGGTTGTGGACACATGCAAATGTGAGTTAGCCCTGGTTCACCCTGATCCGGTGCAGCACATCACATGAGATTCACACAGGAACCGCACTGCTTTCTTGTGCAAATCACATGAGATGTATGTGTGGTGCGATTTAACCCATAGATTTTGTATTGCGCAAAATACATTGCATCCACACCAAAAGGGTGCAGGACCATTTTTTTTTCCTGCACCTGATTCGCATCGCATGGTAATCTGTTTTGGGGTGTCATTAATTTAACATTCACACTCGTACCAGATCGCATTGACGCCATGCGATGGCAATGCGGTGCTTGAAACGCGCAGGATTCGCTGCGTTTCCCGCACCGCATCATTGTGAACCAAGGATAGCAATCCCAGCATTCCAGGAATGTAACTGTTTTTTGAAACAGTAAATCGATGGGTTTAGTTCCACTTTATAATTTACTGCTTTTTCAGGGCTTCAGCAAAATGGCAGCCCCCAGCAAGAAGAAACAGGAGCAATGCTGGAAGCAATTCACAGCACACACTAATTTTGGTAGCATAATTATTATTGTGAAATATATGTTCCTTGCTAAAGAACATTATTTTTTATTAAGTTGTTATGGGTAAAGTTCCAATTTAACGTGACACTAAAGCTTCATTTTTGTTTTTTTTTAATAAAAAGCATGTCTATACTTACTTGCTCTGTGCAGTGGTTCTACATAGAGCCGCGCAGATCCTCTTCTGTTTGGGTCCCTGGTTGTGCTGCTGGCTCCTCCCCCCTAAAGCAGTGCCCCCAGGGAAAACCGTTTGCCCAATCTATAAGACACTAATGCAGGCCATAGATGGGGAGAAAACTGGCCGATTGTTCTTTAAAAAAATGAAAAATCGGTCGTTCAAGCGGCCGACGTTACCAGGAATGGTAAAAAAAAAAATCGTCCGATTTTCATCCCGTCTACAGCCGGCAAAAAGTGTCCCTGCAGAGAGCTCCGCTATTTTTTTGACAATGCTTTGACATTTATAGCGGCTGCAACATTGTATCTATTTGTATCCATTTCGGATACAGATGTTTTTATTCGGAAACAAATAGATACAATGTTGCAGCCGCTATAAATGTCAAAGCATTGTCAAAAAAATAGCGGAGCTCTCTGCAGGGACACTTTTTGCCGTACTGGAATTCTTCTTCATCCTCTTCGTCGTCTTCTTCATCCTCTTCTTCTTCTTCATCCTCTTCTACTTCTTCCTCTTCTTCTTCTTCATCCTCTTCTTCTTCTTCATCCTCTTCTTCTTCTTCATCCTCTTCTTCTTCTTCATCCTCTTCTTCTTCATCCTCTTCTTTGTCTTCATCCTCTTCTTCTCTCATCCTCTTTCTTCTTCCTCTTTATCTTCCTCTTCTTCCTCTTCTTCGTCTTCTTCATCCTCTTCATCCTCTTCTTCATCCTCTTCTTCATCCTCTTTTTCATCCTCTTCTTCATCCTCTTTTTCATCCTCTTCTTCTTCTTCTGCTTCATCCTCTTCTTCTTCATCCTCTTCTTCATCCTCTTCTTCATCCTCTTCTTTCTTCCTCTTCTTCTTCTTTTTCCTCTTCTTCTTCTTCTTCCTCTTCTTCTTCATCCACTTCTTCTTCTTCTTCATCCTCTTCTTCTTCTTCATCCTCTTCTTCTTCTTCATCCTTCTTCTTCTTCATCCTCTTCTTCATTCTCTTCTTCCTCTACTTCTTCTACTTCATCCTCTTCTTCCTCTACTTTTTCTACTTCATCCTCCTCTACTTCTTCTACTTCATCCTCCTCTTCCTCTTCATCCTCTTTCTTCTTCCTCTTCATCCTCTTCTTCTTCTTCATCATCCTCTTCTTCTTCTTCTTCTTCCTCTTCATCATCATCCTCTTCTTTCTTCATCATCCTCTTCTTCTTTTTGTCTTCCTCTTGCAGGTCACTGCTCATGCGCAGATTTTTTTATCGGTAAAAAGATCGCCCGATTTGCCCATAATTGCCGTAAAAATCGGACGATCTGCAAAATCGGACGATCTTTTTCTAACTTTACTGATAAAAAAAAATCTGCCAAAATACCGAAAAATGGCCAAGCAAATTAACCCACTAACGATCCGAAAATCGGCCGATTTTATTTTCGGCCGAAAAATTGGCAAATTTTCAACCCATCTATGGCCTGCATAAGTCACATCTGTCCCCCCTTCATGCATAGAATACATGAAGGTAAAAAACCTTGAGCCTTTAGAACCACTTTAACCCTTCCTGTCACCAGGAGCCCCAAAGCACTTATATAGGCCCCTTCCTAATTGATTAGTATAACTAAGTACTGTTGGTTCTTAACTGTACAGGGCAGCCTCACTGACCAACATGAAGTGTGGGAAGAAAGGGGGACATGGTGAGAAGTAGAAATTTGATAGAATGTTCACTCTGAGATCCAGTGTACTATGCAAAGTTGTATGCAAGCATCTATAGGTGCCTGCATTTTATTTCTTACCACTTGTGTTCTGGAGTGAAAGGTCTTTTAAAAGGTATTTTAAATACAGGATTAAAAAAAGAATGTTTTAACATGATGGTCATTTTGTTATATCTTGCTTGCAACAGTCATTTTGCTTCAGTGATAAGTTGTTTACACTTTTTGATAGCATGGTTCGTTACCTATTTCCTGCAGGATATATATGATCTTAAGGACCAGATTCAAGATGTAGAAGGCAGATACATGCAGGGACTAAAAGAACTAAAGGTATCAGGGTTCCATTTACTGCCCGTTCCCAAGCCTGCATGCTGCACTGCTAGTATGGAGACTATGATATATTTTGCTCCCTAACAGACTGCTCAGGGCTTAACTAACTTGTAATACATGAACCTGGTGTACCGCATGCACATCACTATTTTATATTTCTATATTGTTCTTTTAACCTATGTGTCTTGTTACTTCAAGCAGATTACAAAGTCTTTTTAGGTGTGTGTATTTTATATAGTGGCTACACTATATCACATGTTCTGGAGTGCTGAAATTCATTTTAAACTGTATCTATAAATGCTGTGGCTTTTTCAAAGTTTTTAATTCTATGTGAACAGATTCCTGCTACAGCATGAAAAGGGAAAACAAATGATATATTCACTAGTGTATTGAAGTGCGATAGTCTCACCGACAAGAAACCTTTTACAGTGTTTTAATCCTGTTACTCATCAAATGATAATACCAGGGGTGGACTGACCGTTTGGAAACTCAGGCACTGCCCGACGGCCCGGGGTTGGTAGGGGGCCCCATGAGATGCCCCTGGTACCTTTTTCATAGGCTTTTTTGAGTTTGGGCAAGGACACAGGGGCCCCATGATCCCCTATTGCCCGGGGGCCCCATGAGTTGTCAGTCCGCCCCTGGATAATACTTTACAGTTAAAATACCCAGGAAGTAATTAACAGAGTGCTCTGAGGCTTGGAATGTGTTTTCCTCTAAACTGATTAGATTATTCTGGTCGAAGTTGATTGCACATTTGTTCATTTTAGGTAGTTTGTATTATGAAGCAGCAGGCATTGTGGTTTACGTAACATCATAGTTATTGCTCTCCGGAAAAGTATTTCATCAGTTATGAGGTTTTGTTAAAGTATTGAAATCATTGCTTGTAAAAGAATGTTCATGCGTGTTCAAGCATGACCACACTAAGGGCTCCTTATTAGTATAAATAGCGTAGCGCTCATAACAAATAATAAATGTAAAATAGAAAATAAAAATTCATATAGTGTAATTCATTACTACAATAGTGCCAAACATGTAAAGTGTCAAACCCAAATGAATAACAATATCTGTGCCCCTCGCTTAAAAACGTGCACACACACCAAATAAATACAGTATCTATAACAATGCCTCTCATTTAAAAAACCGTGTACACACACCTAATAAAATACATTTAAATAATATATCAACAACCCCTCAAATCAAAACAAGGGGCTAAACAAAAAGTGCTAAAGTGCAATAAAGTGTCCACGCTTCAAAAATTATACTCAAATGATTAAAAGAATGTCCAAAAATAATATATAAGTGATGGATAAAATCATGCAATGTGCAATGGTATTCAACAATTCTGTGATTGTGCCAACACACTTCTTCTATTTGCGGCTGAATTGCCTCCTCACCTCCTCCCTGTGACCCCTAGGGGCCAACACGCTTGCAGGATTACCCTGGATCCTTAAATCATATGGACCAGCAACCTTCTTCCTCCAGTGGATCTCCTCATGGGGCTCCTGTTGCCCCTGATCAAACCTGATGTCTCTAAGGGACAATAGCTCACCAGCCCTCCTCCCTGTGACCCCTAGGGGCCAACACGCTTGCAGGATCACCCTGGATCCTTAAATCATATGGACCAGCAACCTTCTTCCTCCAGTGGATCTCCTCATGGGGCTCCTGTTGCCCCTGATCAAACCTGATGTCTCTAAGGGACAATAGCTCACCAGCCCTCCTCCCTGTGACCCCTAGGGGCCAACACGCTTGCAGGATCACCCTGGATCCTTAAATCATATGGACCAGCAACCTTCTTCCTCCAGTGGATCTCCTCATGGGGCTCCTGTTGCCCCTGATCAAACCTGATGTCTCTAAGGGAAAATAGCTCACCAGCCCTCCTCCCTGTGACCCCTAGGGGCCAACATGCTTGCAGGATCACCCTGGATCCTTAAATCATATGGACCAGCAACCTTCTTCCTCCAGTGGATCTCCTCCTGGGGCTCCTGTTGCCCCTGATCAAACCTGATGTCTCTAAGGGACAATAGCTCACCAGCCCAGTGAGCCAAGAAAAAGAGACCCTCTAAGTGTAGTATTAGTGCAAACAAAACTCCTTTTATTGCAAGAGAAGGATTATCACTCACATGTATCGCAGTTCTCCCTCCTCACCGATGTGTGGGTATACTGCATGCGTGTGGGACTTCCTGGGTATACCAAGATGGCGTCGCACGCCGGAAGTGCGTCACCGCACACCGGAAACTGCGTACTCGCGTACCTACGTGTTACGTCACTGAATACTCGTGACTTCCTTGCACACATTGTGCGATGACAGACATTTTACTGCATTATAAAATGCCTGTCACCACAAGGCCACACAGAAAACAATTGTTTCCTGTGTGTCCCATTCGCACTTCAATGCAGCCTGGAGTTGTGCTAAAATGCAGACGTTACCACAAATTCAATATCCAGTGGACCCGATGGCTAAACCACCCAAAATGTTATATACAACCCTGATGACATCTCAAGAAATGAATTCACACCCCCACACCAAGACTGGTATCTCCTCAACTCCCCAGTTATGTTCCTCCCTCTCCAATCCTACCCTCCCTTACCTCTCCGCCAACATCCCACCTCCCCTAATTCCCCATACTCCTCACCGAGGTTCTCCAAATACCCACGAATACCTCTGATGATATTGCTAAACAAGATCAACACCCCATCGTTCCAGAGGGTTGATCTGCAACAAAATGATTAACCTCTTGCCGACCGCGCATAGCCGAATGACGGCTTCACCGCGGCCGGCCAGTTCTGAGTGGACGTCATATGACGTCCTCCCAGAACGCGCTCTCCTGCGTGCCCCAGGGGGCGCGCACCCGGCGATCTCCGTGATCGCTGTGTCCTACGGACACAGCTGATCACGTGATGTGGTGAAAGGCCGATCCCACCGGCCTTTTACCACGTGATCAGCGGTGTCCAATGACACGCTGATCACAGGGAAATGGAAGTGCCGGTTCTCGGCTGCACTTTCCTCACGCTGTCAGATCGTGAGGAAAGTACTGCCAAGAACCGGCAGTTGTCAGAGCGGGGATCGGCACCGATCATCAGGGCACTGATGATCAGTGCCCTGATGATCGGTGCCCAGCAGTGACACCCGCAAGTTCCGCCCAGCAGTGCGCCCACTAGCCCCGCCCACCCGTTCCCAGCAGTGCCCCCACCTGTGCCCAGCAGTGCCCCCACCTGTGCCACTCTGCAGTGCCACCTACCTGTGCCCAGAAGTGCCACCTACATGTGCCCACCCACCTGTGCCACCCACCTGTGCCCACCCCACCTGTGCCCACCAGTGCCACCCACCTGTGCCCACCCAGTGCCCACCCCACCAGTGCAGCCCAGCAGTGCTGCCAGTCAGTGCCACCAGTCAGTGCCCAGGGGTTGTTGTGCCGCCAGTCAGTGCCCAGAAGTGATGCCAGTCAGTGCCGTCTATCAGTACCCATCATCAGTGTCACCTATCAGTGCCGCCTATCAGTGCTGCATATCAGTGCCGCCTATCCGTGACCCCTAATTAGTGCTGTCTATCAGTGCCGCCTATCCGTGCCACCTCATTAGTACTGCCTATCAGTGCCCTTTAGTGCTGCCTATCAGTGCCCATCCGCCCTATCAGTGCCCATCAGTGCCGCCTCATCAACGCAAATCAGTGAAGGAGAAAAAATACCTGTTTGAAAAATTTTATAAAAGAAACAAATAAACTTTTTTTTTTTTTTTTCAAATTTTTTGCACATTTTTTTTAAATTTTATAGCGCAAAAAGTAAAGCGCCCAGTGGCGATTAAATACCACCAAAAGAAAGCTCTATTTGTGAGAAAAAAATGATCAAAATTTCATATGGGTACAATGTTGCATGACCGCGCAATTGTCAATCAAAGTGCGGCAGCGCTGAAAGCTGAAAATTGGCCTGGTAAGGAAGGGGGTATAAGTGCCTGGTAGGCAAGTGGTTAATCATATGTGTCTACTGTAATGTTATATGACTACACCTATTCCTGTTCCCTGTTTTCTCCTGTTGTTTCCCCATTTATCCTTGAAAAACTCAATAAAAATTATTGAAACATAAAATTCAGACGTGCTGCACACATCACGCTGCCCCCTAACACAGTCGGGAACAGACCACTGCCGGACAGATAAAGCGCTCTGGCAGCAGTCCACTCTAGTGTGGACTCAGCTTTATTTGAACAAAATGAACAGCACCCACAATGACAAACTTTACTAAATGGTTTAGTTTAAATACAGTGGGGATGGAAAGTTTGGGCACCCCAGCTAAAAATTTGTATTAATGTGCATAAAGAAGCCAAGGAAAGATGGAAAAATCTCCAAAAGGCATCAAATTACAGATTAGACATTCTTATAATATGTCAACAAAAGTTAGATTTTATTTCCATCATTTACACTTTCAAAATAACAGAAAACAAAAAAATGGCGTCTGCAAAAGTTTGGGCGCCCTGCAGAATTTATAGCATGCACTGCCCCCTTTGCAAAGCTGAGGCCTGCCAGTGTCATGGATTGTTCTCAATCATCGTCTGGGAAGACCAGGTTATGTCAATCTCAAAGGTTTTAAATGCCCAGACTCATCTGACCTTGCCCCAACAATCAGCACTATGGGTTCTTCTAAGCAGTTGTCTAGAAAACTGAAAATAGTTGACGCTCACAAAGCTGGAGAAGGCTATAAGAAGATAGCAAAGCATTTTCAGATGTCAGTATCCTCTGTTCGGAATGTAATTAAGAAATGGCAGTCATCAGGAACAGTGGAAGTTAAAGCAAGATCTGGAAGACCAAGAAAAATATCAGACAGAACAGCTCGCAGGATTGTGAGAAAAACAATTCAAAACCCACGTTTGACTGCACGATCCCTCCAGAAAGATCTGGCAGACACTGGAGTTGTGGTACACTATTCCACTATAAAGAGATACTTGTACAAATATGGTCTTCATGGAAGAGTCATCAGAAGAAAACCTTTCTACGTCCTCACCACAAAAAAATCATCGTTTGAACTTTGCAAATGAACATATAGACAAGCCTGATGCATTTTGGAAACACGTTCTGTGGACCGATGAGGTTAAAATGGAACTTTTTGGCCGGAATGAGCAAAGGTACGTTTGGAGAAGAAGGGGCACAGAATTTAATGAAAAGAACCTCTGTCCAACTGTTAAGCATGGGGTTGGATCAATCATGCTTTGGGGTTGTGTTGAAGCCAGTGGCACAGGGAACATCTCACGAGTAGAAGGAAAAATCGATTCAATAAAATTTCAGCAAATTTTGGATGGTAACTTGATGCCATCTGTGAAAAAGCTGAAGTTAAAGAGAGGATGGCTTCTACAAATGGATAATGATCCTACACACACCTTGAAATCCACGGGGGATTACATCAAGAGGCGTAAACTGAAGGTTTTGCCATGGCCTTCACAATCTCCTGACCTCAACACAATTGAAAATCTATGGATAGACCTTAAAAGAGCAGTGTGTGACAGACAGCCCAGAAATCTCTAAGAATTGGAAGACTTTTGTAAGGAAGAATGGGCAAAGATACCTCAAACAAGAATTGAAAGACTCTTGGCTGGCTACAAAAAGCGTTTACAAGCTGTGATACTTGCCAAAGGGGGCAGTACAAGATATTAACTCTGCAGGGTGCCCAAACTTTTGCAGATGCCATTTTTTTGTTTTCTGTTATTTTTGAAAGTGTAAATTATGGAAATAAAATCTAACTTTTGTTGACATATTATAAGAATGTCTAATCTGTAATTTGATGCCTTTTGGAGATTTTTCCATCTTTCCTTGGCTCTTTATGCACATTAATACAAATTTTTAGCTGGGGTGCCCAAACTTTCGATCCCCACTGTATCTATATTAGTTGCCTCTTTTACCGCCAAATTAAAAATAGGTCTTAGGGCTCATTCACACCATATCTGTTGAGCAGCACTGATCTGCATAGATTAATGCAGGCTGAATGCATGTGCATTTAGAAAACCATTGTTTTCCAGGAGTCCTCTTCACACCATAACACTGCATTGAGGCACAGGGTGCTTCTTAAAGATGCAGTATTTTTATGTAGTATTTTTTGCACTAATGTTCACAGCAAGTCTCAGTCAATCACCACAGCACATCACCATTTTGTGACACTTCATGTTAAAAAATAAATCAACCATGCAATTATTTATTAACAATGCATCATACCTTCCATCATGTACACCAGTACACATGCGTCTGTTCTGCCCTAACTTTGCTGAAAGCATTTTTTTTTTCCATGATGTGACTTTTGCCTTACGAATTATAATTCCTCTTGTGTACTTGTTATGCCAACCTGAGTAGATGTGGTGGATCAGTATTATTAGTAAAGCTGCGTGCTGATAAAAAGGGATGCTTGATCCAATCCAATAGCACAGTATCACTTTTAGAATGCTTCCATGGAAGGACAGCCATACACTGGTAGATTTTCACAAAGTGTATTCATATTGACCATTATTTGCAATAATTGTTCAGTTTATGGGATAAGTAAACAAAAGCTGGCCATACATGGAGCAAATTTCAGGTATTTCCTGTTGAACTGGTCGCAGTTCGCTCCATGGAGGGCCTTGTCAGCACCAGGGGCGGACTGACCATTTGGGAACTTGGGCACTGTCCAAGGGCCCGGGGTCAGTAGGGGGCCCCATGAGATGCCCCTGGTACCTTTTTCATAGGCTTTTTTGAGTTTGGGCAAGGGCACAGGGGCCCCATGATCGCCTATTGCCCAGGGGCCCCATGAGTTGTCATTCCGCCCCTGGTCAACACCCTCCTGCTGGTCATCCTTTGAAAAATCGAAGCAGTTGGACAGAAAATGGTTGAGATTTTTATTAGTGAGAATTAAGCATGTAGTTATATATTAGTTCCAGTTCAGATAGTAAAAAAGAAAAAAAAATACAGTACTGTATATTTTTATAAGTTTTAGGCAGGTGTGAATAAATGCTGTAAAGCAGGGGTTGTCCAGCCTTTTGACCTCCCTGGGCCACACTGGAAAAAGAGTAATTGTCTATGTGGCAAATGAGGTTTAATGTTGATAAATGTAAGCTTATGCACTTGGGGGCTAAGAATATGCATGCATCATACATACTAGGGGGGGTACAACTGGGGGAATCAATGATGAGAAGGATCTGGGAGTTCTGGTAGATCAGAAGCTTAATAATGACATGCAATGCCAAGCTGTAGCTTCTAAAGCAAGCAAAATCCTCTCTTGTGTTAAAAGAGGTATAGACTCCAGAGAGAGATATCATATTACCCCCCCCCCCCCCCCCCCGGTACAAATCATTAGTAAGACCTCATCTGGAATATGCAGTTAAGTTTTGGGCACCAATTCACAAAAAGAACATTGGGGAACTGGAGAAAGTACAGAGAAGGGAAAGCAAACTGATATGAGGCATGGAGGAGATCAGCTATGAGGTAAGATTAGAGGAACTGAATTTATTCTCTTGAGAAGAGGAGATTAAGGGGGGATATGATCAACATGTACATCAATGGTTCATATAGTGAACTCGGTGTAGAGCTATTTATCTATTGTCATCACAGAAGACAAGGGGGCACTCTATGTCTGGAGGAAAATAAATGTAATCTCCAAACACACAGAAAGGTTTCTTCACAGTGAAAGCTGTGAAAATGTGGAATAGACTCCCTCAAGAGTTGGTTTTGGCCAGCTCAGTGGATTGCTTTAAAAATGGCCTGGATTCTATCTTGGATACACAGAATATAACTGGATATAACATTTATAGGTAAGGTTGATCCAGGGAATATCTGATTGCCTTTTGGGAATCGGGAAGGAATTTTTTCCCCTGCAGGAGCAAATTGTATCATGCTTTGCTGGGTTTTTTGCCTTCCTCTGGATCAATTGTGGGTGTAGGATTATAACTTTTTTTTTTTTTAAAAAGTTGAACTGGATCGATGGTTGTCTTTTTTCAGCCAGACTAACTATGTAACTATGTGTCTTGGGCCACACATAAAATACACTACCAATAAGATAGTTGATGAGCAGTTCCTCCGGAGGCTCTCAGTGGCTGCCTGCCTCATTCACTATAATGACAGGTTGATGGTGGCTGCACCTATTCGCAACTCTCTACTCAGCCAGCGATTACGTGCAGTGATTGTTGCTGGATGCAGACAAAGTGCGATTACCAGTGATCACCACAGGTAATTGCTGGCTGTGTAGGGAGCCCAGAATAGGTGTGGCTGCAGGTGAACTGTCATTATTGTTTGCAGGGCTGGCAGCCGCTGAGAACCATAGTAGGAACTGCTCATCTGTTATCCTTATTGTTAAGTGTATTTTATGTGCGGCCAAAGACAATTTGCCTTTTTGAAATGTGGCCCAGGGAGGTCAAAATGTTTGTCTTTGTGGCCCTCCAGGCAAGCCTCGGGCCTGATACCCCTGCTATAAAGTAGGAATGCTTTCTAAAGTATATATTATATATAATGTTAATTGTATATTTTTTTAGTGATCTAGAAAATGCAAGGTGAGTGAGCAGAAGAAAAATATAAATCAAATCAATATTTGGTGTGACTACCCTTTGGCTTTAAACCAGCATTGATTCTTCTAGGTACATACAGTGCTGGTGCACACAGTTTTTGAAGGAACTTGGCCGTTAGGTTGTTGTAAACATCTTGGAGAACTAAGTAGAGATCTTACGTGGATATAGGCTGCCTCACATCTTTCTGTCTCTCCATGTAATCTCAGACAGACTCGATGAACTTGAGATCAGGACTCTGGGGGGTCAAACCATCACTTCAAGGATTCCTTGTTCTTTACGCTGAAGATAATTCTTAATGACATTGGTATGTCATTAAGAATGTATGTTTGGGGTCATTGTCCTGCTGCAGAATAAATTTGGGGCCAATCACACACCTCCCTGATGGTATAGCATGTTGGAAAATATCTGCCTGGTATTTGGTATTCACACCAAATATTGATTTGATTTGGATTTCTCTTCTGTTCATTTACTTTCCATTTTGGTAATTGATAGACATCAACTATTAACATTTTTATTTCTGAAAGCATTCCTAATTTAAAGCATTTTTTCACACCTGCCTAAAACTTTTGCACAGTTCTGTATACAATTTTGGATTATAGGGGTTTTGGCTTACTGTTGTACATTTGTGACTTTGTGCTGTTGTATGTTATATTGTGTGTGTGTGTATATATTTATTTTTTTTTAATTATCAAAAATGTGCTGCCTTCCAAAATTTACTAAAACAAATCTCATTTGTTCTGTTGCTTGAAATAACCTCTGCATGCCCCTGTATTTAACTCAGTATGTCAAAGCAATATTAAGATGCTGATGACTTCACAGAGACTCTGATACAAACCCCGCTCAATGGATTACATCACTCCCATTCATGCTACTATGCCATTTACTTGATGTTATGTTTACATTGTTCATTTCTACAGGATTCCTTAGCAGAAGTGGAGGACAAATACAAGAAGGCTATGGTATCCAATGCACAGCTTGATAATGAAAAAAGCAATCTTGTGTACCAAGTGGACACATTAAAAGATGTCATCGAGGAAATGGAGGAACAGATGGCAGAATATCATAGAGAAAATGAAGACAAGTCAAAGGTATTGTAAAAGCATATGGTCTCCAGTGATGTGTTTAAAAGGACTGCTGCTAACTAGAATGTAAAGTACACATAGATATTCGGGTAATGCCAGTACTATTCAGGCAAGTAACGCATGGAGGCTTCCTATTCACTCACTTGCAGAGAAAAGGACTAAGGACTCTGTTTAGACCCCTGATATCTCACCAAATATATTTATTTATTAGTAAGACCTCATTGCCATGGGGTGTACTACAGCATACACCTGTGCAAGGTGTTGTTACCCCTCTAGTACCAGATGTTCCATGCACTACTGTGCAGGTTGTGCCAAGCAATGTCAGTTGGGACACAGCAGCTACACAGACACAGCCACTGCTCCCAGTTTGACATCTGTGTGGCTGCAAGTGCATGTCCCCGAATTCACACTCTTGGCATTCGATGATCTTGAGATCAGGACTCTGGGGGTCAAACCATCACTTCAAGGATTCCTTGTTCTTTACGCTGAAGATAGTTCTTAATGACATTGGTATGTCATTAAGAATGTATGTTTGGGGTCATTGTCCTGCCCAGACACAGCCATTGCTCCCAGTTTGACATCTGTGTGGCTGCAAGTGCATGTCCCCGAATTCACACTCTTGGCATTCGGGACTGTGCACCTGCACAGATGTCATATCGGGAGCAGCGGCTGTGTCCATGCAGCTGCTGCATCCTGACTGACATTAAAGTGGCTGCCTGCATAGGGATGCATGGAATACTTATGTGCCAGTAAATACGTCCCTTAAACAGCATATACTTTAATATGCCCGATATGACCAAGGCCTTAGTAGGCGTTTAGCAGGAATTTGTAAGTTATGTTGTGTTTGTGTGTGCTAATAATAATTTTAGTGTTGAAGATATCGTTTTTGAAAAACATCTGTGCATTTATTGTGGTACTTAAAATATCAGTAGCACCTTCTTTTTATTCTGCTGGTCATAGGACCTTTTCATTCAGAAAATGTATAGTCTGGGGGTGGGTCTTTTACAAACTCTGAAAACTGTGTGTAAGTGAAAAATAATAACCTCCAGATTTTTCTAGACCAAGTTGCTTTTTTAGAGCTTTGCATACCATGCGATTTGCACCATTTTGCAGAAAGGCACAATTTAAAATTTCCAAATTTTGTTTGAACTTAATACAGTATTCTCTTTTGTATTTAGTAGAAATTTAGCAAGTATTGTGTAGGTTTTGCTACATTTGTGTCTGCTAATAATGATTTTAGTGTATTTTTATAAACATTTGCGCAAATATCATGGGGAAAAAATAATCCGTTGCTTCTCCTTTTTTATTCTGTTGGTCCTATACTTTCAAAAAATATATGGTTTTGTGTTTTTTGTTTTGTTTTTTTTAATTGTGAAAGCTGCTTTGGGGTAACATTAGTTTTGATTAGTTGTTCAGTGCACTAAAGATTAAGAACTCCATTTGTATAAAAAATGTTAATCGTACAGGACACAAGCTGACTAATCTTAGACCTTGGGTTATAAGCTAGTACTTTCAGATGATTGGACGCTGTCAAAGCTTTGCTGGACATGTCCCAGTGGGTGCACCCCTCTAAGCCTGCCCCACTCTGGGAGACCTTTTCTGACTTACTGAGAAATAATTTGCTTCACTTTATTTTTATACTTTGGTTTCTTAAATCAACTCTTCAATTAACTTGTCCCTCCTTTATAATGTAACAATAGAAGCAGTGCATCCAAATTGGTGTAACCTTGGTATAACTTTGGGAACCGTACCCGCTGTGGGCATGGCCTGTAATATTGTTTCGGTCACTGGCACCTGCTTGATGCTCACCTCGCCATAGAGTGGTATGCAGTTCTAGGGCCATAGTCCATTCTTTTTGAAACCAGACCCTTAAGACCCTTCTGGAGGTATGCACACCGTGATGGGGCATGGCTCACAGGCTGGGAAGCAATGTCCAACCTCTCACAGTTCAGGAAACATTTTCACCCAAGAAAGCCAAACTCCCTGTCATTATCCTGGAGCTCAAAGTGATTAAACTAGCTCTGAAGCACTCGACCCCCCTCCCCTTTTTTACGGTTATCCTGATCAGGGTAGAATCTGACCAATCAGACAGTGCCACAGTTGTGGCTTATATCAACCACGAAATGGGTACCAAGAGTCAAGTAGCCTTAATGAAAGCACAGTAAGTCTGATCATCTTGTGGGCTGAAAACATTGTCCAGCCCTCTCTGCTCTTCACATGCCAAGAGTAGGCAACTGGAACATGAAATACTTAAGCCATCATTGCCTGAACCAAGGGGAATGGGCCTTTCATCCCTCCTGTGTCAGGAATGGAGAACTCCAAATGTGGATATCCTGGCCTTTTGGTACAAGAAGAAGTTACCCCTCTAGTACCAGCACTGGATGCTCGATTAATTCCTTGGACTCCATTCCAGTTTATATATGACTTTCTTCCAGTGTGAATTCTGCCTCGGCTGATCTGGTTCCTTGGGATTTTACATTGGTTTTCTTTCCTGCAGAAACCACCCTTTGAACTCATCAAACAGGAAAGTGTCTTTTTAGTGTCTTCTCATATCTGTCAGACATGTCTCTGAACTAGCGTCTCACTATTGTGGAGCCCTTCTTGATCCTTTGCAAAGTCAAAGTAGTCTTGTGTATGAGACCTACCTTTCTACCTAATGTGGTATCTAACTATCTAACCAAGACATAGTCCTTCCTTCTTTTGCCCAACTCGAAGAGATTGCTCTTCATTGCCTGGACGTTGTCAAAGCTATCCGAGTCTATTTAAAAGCCACAGCTTCTATAAGAAAAATGGGTTCTCTCTTTGTCTCCAGTTCATATCTTCTCTAAATTCTACCGGGTGGATATCCAAGCCTCTGTGGATGCAGCTTTCGGCTGCAAAATTCTTGAATCAACACTCTTTGTTGGGTCTGTTGATCCCTTGTGTCTGTTGGGATTGTTAGCACAGTCCTGGTTGCCTTGTTTTTGCCTTTGGAACATCCCAGGGTCTTTGAGTATCTAGCTTGTGCACTGCACTGTACGATTAAGATAAGAGGAATTTTGACTTACCTGTAAATTCCATATCTTGAAGTACAGTACAGGGCAAAGGCCACACTCCCTTCTATTCCTAGGTTACTCTGCATTGCTTGCAAAAAACAGAGGAAATCGTGGAGTATGGTTATAGGGGGAGTCCAGGGGGGCATACCCAGCAGAGCTTTGTCAGTCTCCAATCACCTAAAGATACCAGCTTTTAATCCAAGGACTATGAATTTTCAGCCTGTGTCTTGTACTGTACTTCAATATATGGAATTTACAGGTAAGTCAAACATCCTATTTGTTGAATAGGGATAGCTATATGCTGTTAATGAAATCTCCTAAATTAGGAGCACAAAACTTTGTTACTACCTGTGTGCACAAAATAATGGTACTAAACTATGTTATTTCTATCTCACGCAGGAATTAGAAAGACAAAAACATGCATGCAGTATTCTACAGCATAAGTTAGATGAACTTAAAGAAGGTATTCGCCAGAGAGATGAATTGATAGAGGTGTGTATGAAGTGAGAAACTGCACAATATTTCCTCCTTTTGTCAACTGAAAAAACAGTTTCAGTACATTGTTTTCTGACCATGGCCTTCACATAGTCCCTTAAAAACGTTAGCAATCATTTATGTTGAATTTCTAAGTATAGATGTAAAATCTACTGCCTCTCTACTACTTTTAATGCTTAATTATAGTGTATAATTTCTTGCACTTCAGAGATATTTTTTTTTTTTTTTTCTGTTTGTTTTTTCTATCTCCTTTCCTATTTCTTGTGAATTTTGATTGCAGGAAAATCAGCGTTTGCAGCAGAAAGCAGACACTCTCACCAGGGAGGTGTTTGATCTACAGGAGACAGTTAATTGGAAAGATAAAAAAATTGGGGTAGGGAAAAGCACAAAGTGGTAGTAAATGACTGGATAATACATTATAGATTGTCAGAAGCAGACCAGTATACCTTTTGTAAATAAATATAAGAAACTTCAATATATCTCCTAATAAGGGATTAGATTAATCATAGTTGAAAGGTGAATGTTAATATATTTCTGCTATTATTTTAAAAGGCAATTAGAGTATTTTGATCTGTAAAAATCTGATATACTACCTCCTCGCAGACCTTACTGCAGTTTAAGCTGGGTGCGCATGGACCTGCTGAACCAGCCAACATTTGGACCACTTGTACAGCCAGCTGTCCTTCCAACAGAAGTCAGTCTGAGGACCGGCTTTTGTCAAAGGGACATGCTGGAAAACCAGCATCCATTCAGCGCTCGCAGCCAATGGCTGCAAGCTCTGATTAGTGTGTTATGGTGGAAGGTGGGGGGAGTCCCCCTATCACAACACAATAGCATGGTGGGAGAGGTCTCTGCACTAACATCGCTTATGGTCTCTCAGGTTTTTTTTTTCATTCAGTCCCCTGGGTTAAACAAAAAAAAAAAAAAACTGAACTTGTGTACTGAGCATAAGCGACATAACCTAGGACACAAGGTAACCTAACCTAGGACGTAACTTCAGGAAACAATTTAGCCTACAGAAATACAATGAAGAAACAGCAGCATGCTGATAAGGTCACCATGTGCTCTCTTTTTCTGTAAGCATGTCCACCCTGTTAGACTGACCACAATGTTTGCAGCAGGGCATGAGGGAAAGTTATTTTGGTCAGGTTGATTTTCCTGGCTGAACACTGTTGTTTCTACCAGGACAGCCAGCACCTGCAGTAACCTTATATCCCTCCTCAATAGTCACAAGTATGCAAGTTGGCCTTTTGAGAACTTGCATGTTTGTACATTAAAATACTAGTTCATGCATTGGGTAATGCATGCAATGCCAGTCGTCCTGTAGAATCTGTAGGCACAAGTTTCACTAAATGATCATTGGTAGTTCACTCCTTTGATGTTGGAAAATAACACTCCACAGACTTCCTCCTTAGGCGCCATGCACACAGGATGTTTTGCCAACTCTCATAGAAGCCTGTCCTCCTGGCAGCAGCATATAATTAATTTTATTGGCCAGAAAATTAATTCATTCTGGCCATTGAAATGAATTCACATTCAAGAACTGAATGCGCCCAGTATTTAGACTCATTTAGGCGTGTACAAGTGTAACGCTGTGGGGGAGGGGGTTTAGGCAGCAAATAAAATGCCAGACACCCCTAGGAGCAGCTGAAAAAATGTCCAGTGTGCATGAGGCCTTAAAATTATATTTTCTGTATGTTAACTTAAAAACGTTTTTGTAGTTTTAGTCAAGTAATGTGGCTCTTTAAGAGGATGTCCTAGTATATATACAATTTGCATATACATTTCTCTTATTTTGAAGTCTAACTGAAAATCTTTTGTTGTCACCTTCACATTTCCTTGAACCTTTCTCTGTGATAGAGGAGATAACTCAGGCAGAGCTGACAACACTGCTTGGGATTTCAGAGCACCAGAGGCAGTATTATTACTACAGTAAGGAGGAGCTTATTGTCAGAATCAACTTGCATTTCTTCCTCATTCACTGAGGGACACAGGATTAAAAATTTGGTTGTGCTGGTGCCTACAGTGGGGCAAAAAAGTATTTAGTCAGCCACCAATGGTGCAAGTTCTCCCACTTAAAAAGATGAGAGAGGCCTGTAATTGGCATCATAGGTAGAACTCAACTATGCGAGACAAAAATGAAAAAAAAATCCAGACCGTCACATTGGCTGATTTGGAAAGAATTTATTAGCAAATTATGGTGGAAAATAAGTATTTGGTCAATATCAAAAGTTCATCTCAATACTTTGTTATATATCCTTTGTTGGCAATGACAGAGGTCAAACGTTTCCTGTAAGTCTTCACAAGGTTGGCACACACTGTTGCTGGTATGTTGGCCCATCCTCCATGCAGATCTCCTCCTCGAGCAGTGATGTTTTGGGGCTGTCGCTGGGCAACATGGACTTTCAACTCCCTCTAAAGGTTTTCTATGGGATTGAGATCTGGAGACTGGCTAGGCCACTCCAGGACCTTGAAATGCTTCTTACAAAGCCACTCCTTCGTTGCCCGGGCGGTATATGTTTGGGATCATTGTCATGTTAGAAGACCCAGCCACATTTCATCTTGAATGCCCTTGCTGATGGAAGGAGGTTTGCACTCAAAATCTCATGATACATGGCCCATTCATTCTGTCCTGTACATGGATCAGTCATCCTGGTCCCTTTGCGGAGAAACAGCCCCAAAGCATGATGTTGCCACCCCCATGCTTCACAGTAGGTAAGCAACTTTGGACGCAACTCAGCATTCTCTCTCCTCCAAACACGACGAGTTGTGTTTCTACCAAACAGTTCTATTTTGGTTTCATCTGACCATATGACATTCTCTCAATCCTCTTCTGGATCATCCAAATGCTCTCTAGCAAACTTCAGACGGGCCCGGACATGTACTGGCTTAAGCAGGGGGACACGTCTGGCACTGCAGGATCTGAGTCCCTGGCGGCGTAGTGTGTTACTGATGGTAGCCTTTGTTACGTTGGTCCCAGCTCTCTGCAGGTCATTCACTAGGTCCCCCCGTGTGGTCCTGGGATTTTTACTCACTGTTCTTGTGATCATTTTGACCACCACGGGGTACGATCTTGCGTGGAGCCCCAGATCGAGGAAGATTATCAGTGGTCTTGTATGTCTTCCATTTTCTAATTATTGCTCCCACAGTTGATTTGTTCACACCAAGCTGCTTGCCTATTGCAGATTCAGTCTTCCCAGCCTAGTGCAGGTCTACAGTTTTGTTTCTGGTGTCCTTCGACAGCTCTTTGGTCTTCACCATAGTGGAGTTTGGAGTGTGACTGTTTGAGGTTGTGGACAGGTGTCTTTTATACTGATAACAAGTTCAAAAAGGTGCCATTGATACAGGTAATGAGTGCAGGACAGAGGAGCCTCTTAAAGAAGAAGGTGCAGGTCTGTGAGAGCCAGAAATCTTGCTTGTTTGTAGGTGACCAAATACTTATTTTCCACCATAATTTGCAAATAAATTCTTTCCAAATCAGCCAATGTGATTGTCTGGATTTTTTTTCTCATTTTGTCTCTCATAGTTGAGGTCTCCTATGATGCCAATTACAGGCGCCTCTCTCATCTTTTTAAGTGGGAATACTTGCACAATTGGTGGCTGACTAAATACTTTTTTACCCCACTGTATATCCTCCTGTAGTCAACAGTATACCACAAGTGTCTTTGAATTCTGTGTCCTTCAAAGAACTCCAAGAAAAGGTTTTTAATGGTGAGTACAAAAATCCAATGTTCTTTCTTGTTCATCAAGAGACACGGGCTTCTGGTTATACTGCAGCCCACAGAAGGATTCAGCAGCAATATAACCAAATTGTCTCTGAATCTTGTGTCCCTCAAACTCCAAGAAAATGATTTTACGAGTACAAAAATTATTTTTTTTTCTGAATTTCCAGCATTTCTAGAGACAAAACATGATTATTTCTCTCTGGACATACACTTCAGGGTAATTATCTTTTAGTGGTTACACAAAAAAGTGTTACATTGTAAAAAGGTCTTTTTATTAATCATTATCCCTTAATTCTTTGTAATAACAAATTGCAGCACAATGTCTAAAGATTATATTTTCTTGAAGCTGAGGTGATTGCACACATATTTAATTCTGGTCTGTTCCTGACAACCTAAAATGTCAATGCATGTTTTAGCAGTTAATCAATCATATAAATGTGTTGTGATGGAGACTCAGGGGCGGACTGACCATTTGGAAACTCGGGCACTGCCCTAGGGCCTTGGGTCAGTAGGGGGCCCCATGAGATGCCCCTGGTACCTTTTTCATAGGCTTTTTTGAGTTTGGGCAAGGACACAGGGGCCCCATGATCCCCTATTGCCCAGGGGGCCCCATGAGTTGTCAGTCCGCCCCTGGATGGAGTTTACTTTAAGCAGTAATGTGATTTGCAGTGAGGCATTTTTAGTTACAGATACTAGGTGCATGACTGCCTTGTCAAGGATCAGTTATATTTGTCATCTTCATTTAGAAGAAAGGAAATTAATGGCAGATTTATGCATCCAAGTGCCTAGGTTAGGATTACAGTTAATTTATGATGACATACTTAGTTGTTTTTTTTCCCTGAGGCTAGAGTTTTTCTGTTTCCTAAAGACAGCAGTCGAGGTTGTGACCACTAGGTTCTTATATTGCATGATCGTTTGTGGGGTTTTTGTGAACAGTTTGCTTGTGATTAGTCTTGTGTGTTTGCCTGATTCTCTGTTTTGCCTATGTGTGTTTCATTTTCCCTCTTTCTCTTTCCCTTTTGCTGCTTTACCTGTCTCTGCTACCCTGCTGTTAATTTGCCTGCTTGCAGGCTTTAGAGAGGCAGAAAGAGTACTTTGACTGCATTAGAAATGAACGGGACGAGCTCAGAGATGAGCTGGCTGATGTGAAAGGAAAAATGAAGATAGGAGAGGTACAGTATCTGCTGCATGTCTCCGAGTGACCAGAGTAGCTAAGTGTGTGACTATCTCTAGACAAAATAGGCTCAATTCACTATGATGGATGATCACTATGATTTTTTTTTTTATCTCATAAGTATTTTACAAATAGAAATATTCCCTATATGTGGAATGTTTATTTTTTATTAATGAATGAAATTGATATTTTCCCCTTTTATTGCCATTTTATTTCCCTGAAGTATTATTTTATCACTACCTCAAAGTTTTTTTATGCTTACCTCATTAGACATCTTATTGAGATTGGTCTGGACACTAGCACTATGTTAATTATTATTTCTACAGTTTTTATAAAGCGCCAATAGTTCGCTCAGCGCTGTACATTACAATGGGAGACAATACATGAGACAGTACAGTAACAATACAATGCGATACACAAGGGGTTCGAGGGCCCTGCTCCTTGGAGCTTACAATCTAGGAGGGAGGGGATAGTGGTACAGGAGGAAAAGCTGTGGGGGATGGAGTGGTAGGAAGAGTGGAGGAGATCAGCAATTAGCAGGGGGCGGGGTAGGCTTCCCTGAAGAGGTGGGTTTTCAGGGTGCGCCTAAAAGAGAGGAGAGTAGGTAATATGAGTGTATAACATCTATAAACATTATATAGGAAAAGCAAACCTGTCGTAACATGAACTATCCATTACTTATCTTTCGGAAAGGTAAAGTTCAAATATTTTAGTAACTCCCTTTATCTCAGTATATACAATCAGGTCAATAAATATTGGGACATCGACACAATTCTAACATTTTTGGCTCTATACACCACCACAATGGATTTGAAATGAAACGAACAAGATGTGCTTTAACTGCAGACTGTCAGCTTTAATTTGAGGGTATTTACATCCAAATCAGGTGAACGGTGTAGGAATTACAACAGTTTGCATATGTTCCTTCCACTTGTTAAGGGACCAAAAGTAATGGAACAATTGGCTTCTCAGCTGTTCCATGGCCAGGTGTGTGTTATTCCCTCATTATCCCAATTACACTCTTAACAAGTGGGAGGCACATATGCAAACTGTTGTAATTCCTACACCGTTCACCTGATTTGGATGTAAATACCCTCAAATTAAAGCTGACAGTCTGCAGTTAAAGCACATCTTCTGCGGTTCATTTCAAATCCATTGTGGTGGTATACAGAGCCAAAAATGTTAGAATTGTGTCGATGTCCCAATATTTATGGACCTGACTGTACATCCAGAGTGCACCGCTGGTGAAAATATTTCCTCCAAGAATGTCACGCCATGTATGGCAATTAAAAGTTAATAGGAGATAACACATGCAGTAATCTCTTTGCATTGATTTTTGCCTAATCGACACCTAAAATAAATAAAAAAAAAGATGCAATGTACAGGTGCATGGTAAATCGATCTGTGTAGTAATACCTTTAGGGTTCATTCACGGTGCTATTTTGAGTCAATATGTGCAATGTTAAGACAGTCCATTCATTCGAACTAAACTTGCAGCATTTTTTGTGAAGCAGCATATCACAACATAGGTGTGTTGGAGTGCTACTATTGAATGTCACTGCATTGCCCCAGTGTCAATAAGCTCTTAATAAAAAATAAAAAAAAATTCAGTCATGAAAAAAAACAATTAAAACACTGTATGCGTTATGCTTTTGTCATTTTAGTTGACTATTATTTTGATTAACAGTTTAATTTCTGTTATATAACTGACTTAGCAGTTAAAATATTACTGTTATAAAAATAAAAATCAGCTGTAATGTCACAACACTCTTTCCTGATTTTGATCCTAATTGTCATACCTACAGTAAGTAATCTTGGACTCTCTTGCACGTTCGTGTCAAGCTAATTATTGAGGAAATGTAAATTAGTAAGGCTGCACAGCTACAATGATTAGGACTGAATTTTATTCTCATTCTTTATTTTATTTGAAACAAAATAACACATGAACATTGTAAAAGGCATCATTGTTACACTTCAGTGGCAATCCAAAATACCAAACATTTGACTCTTGCACGTCGCAGAATGGCCCACCTCATGTCAACCTGGGTTTTAGAAATTTTCTGTTGGAAATGTGTATGTGTCTGCTCTCTTTTTTGGTTTTCCAAGTGTGAGAACTATAGGTTAGGTGTGATATTATGCGGGAAGAGTTGAGTGATTTGAGTGACAGAAGTAAAAGAGGGAGTAGGGTCTATAGTGAATCATGAGTAAGGTTGAAGATTGTTGTACATTGTAGGTGCATGGGAGAGGCAGAAGTTTAGATGTTGATTTATCAGGATGGAGTGAGAGGTGTGGGCAAAAGAGGTAGGGGGTAGGAGGTAGAGGTAGGTGTAGGAGGCAGGCTCATAGAGCCTATGGGTAGGCTTGGGTTAAGGTGGTCCCTTGAGCCCAGTCAAGGAGTTTGTGTGAGATGCACTTCCAGAGAGCTCACCTAGGGGGTGGAAGAATTAATAATGAGACAAGTCTAGCAATACAGACTAGCAGAGATGTGCACTGAAGAGTCATAGATCTTTTTTTAGTGTCTGACATTATAACAATCTTGTTGAAGCAGGTGGAAGAGAGGAAATTTTTTAAGAGATCTGGGCAGGGCCTCTACCCATGTAAATATCCCTACCACTGCAAACAGTGGATGAGCCCTTTAGAGGTGTCATCAAGGTTAAGGGATATCAGCCAGAAATGTGTGGGGAGTAAATAATATAAACAACAACATGGTAGATAAAGCCATTAACTGTAAGTTGAATAATCTACTACATATGTATGATATCTGGGGGGGGGGGGGGGTTGTAAGTCAAAGGCAGACCCTTTATATTGGGTAGCAGGGGTGGAGTCCCAATGTAGTTCAACTTCCACACAGCCTATATCTTTCTGTCATAACTGGGAACCCCACTATGATGGGTATAATCTCTGCCACTCCCTTGGACAATTCATGGCACCTGGTCAGGTTTTTACACGCACGCACACACGCGCGCACACACACGCCACCCCGCACACACACACACACACACACACCAAGGGGACATATACTTGTACTAAGCAAGTCTGTCCTGTAATCTCAAGGTACCCGATCCTAAGCTAATATGCAATGAGTCCAAGAGGAAAGACATAAAGGCTCGACTATTTCTGTAAAAAAACGAAATATCAGTGCAAATCAATACCCAAAACAAATTGATTTCAAATATTAGTAAAAATTTAAATGAATTATTAGTGTCCAAAAAAAAACTTAATGTGTCCGAAACAATAAATTAATAAAACATAAAGTCCTTCTTCCCAAGTTCCATGGTGCTTCAACCAAAAAATAATTTCCTCGTGGTATGTGCTTCCACCATCCACCAGTGCTATAACCAACATAAATCACACTCACCAGATATTAGTGAATTGTAGGACTTTTAGGGATCCTACACCCCCTCTACAACCTCCAGGCCTCCATTCCACCATACAGGGCTTGGGTAAACCTTCCACTCACTTCCTGATATAGCCTTCCAAACCAGCTCCGCAGTGGTGCAAGAGAAAAAAGTGTATATAGTGTGATATTGCTAATGACCATATAGCATTAATCAGTAATACCAGGCCACTCACATTTCATACATTCGTTAAAAGCATTGTTTATTAGCCTTTACTGGCCAAAGAAGATTATCATGACATCCAGGACCAGCTCCAGAAACCTCACAGCTTGAATTGTAGAGGATGACAGTATGTGTATTGAACCAGATCAAAGATGGCCGCTTGGAACGCACCGCTTAGCGTGCGTTCCACTCACCGGAAGTTGCACAGGACATTCAGATGGCAGACCGGAAGTGTGTTGATGCGTTTCGCCCCTCCTACTGGGCGTTCTCAAAACCTTGGTCTTGAGAACGCCCAGTAGGAGGGGCGAAACACGTCGATGATTTGCGCTGCTATTTTTTTTTTTTTATATTATTTGGTGTATTGCACTAGTACAGCAGCAGCTCATACCGTTTCCTGTGGGGGGTTGTTCTGTAGGGCTGAAGTTTGTACTTTAACCTCCCTAGCGGTCTGATTATGTCCGTATTTCTGTGCTCAAAGCGGTACATTTTTTTGCATGGAAATATGTAGTTTTTTTATTGTAGGCTGTAATTTAGGAATAACTCACTGAAATCTGTCGAACAAGAGTCTAGTAAACATCCCGGGTATGATAAAACTTGAAACACGAAATCATAAATTATAATTTAATAAATAATCAAAAAAATTAATAATATAATAATAAATTTAACTCAATAATATAATCAAACCAAAAACACTGAAATGTGAAATATAGCGCCAAGTTCGCACATCACTGAGCAAAGTCGCAGAATCGTTTTCAGTGTCTGATGATGAATTTCCCCCACGAATCATCACTCAATTCTGCAAGTGGTTCTGATTTCCTATCGCTGTTCTCTAGCCGGTCTAAAACCGCTTTTGACCTAAAGGGACGCCATGGACGTTTCTCAGTTTCCAGGCAGAAAGAACAGTCAAAATGCAGGCAGGGCGCCGGACAAAAGCACTCGGGACAATATGTATGTGAAAATAGGTTGATACAGGAAAGTTATACTATGTGATTTTACTGCATGTCACGTTTTGTCATTTTCAAATTTCCCACCATTCTGTCCCCCGTACGTCCCGATGTCGTAGGGGACGGAACCCAGATGACAGGTGCCGGCATTCGGCGGATTACATTGCCGGGGACACTGCAGGAGGGACGTCGCGGGAGCGCAGGACAAGGTAAGTGATTGAGGGATCCCGGAGCAGCACCGCATGGTAAGCCCGAGTGTAGCTCGGGGTTACCGCTTGTGGTACTGAAACTTTACCCCGAGCTACACTCGGGAATACCGCCAGGGAGGTTACATCGACTATTTCTGTATTTGTTCAGTCTTATTGGGTTCCCTTCCTTGCCTCAGTACATGAGGTTGCGGTTCCGTTCTACTCTCTGAACACCCAAGATGTCATGAAAGGGCTGGACAGGATCCGCCACTGAAAATGTACACTCACTGGCCACTTTATTAGATA